CCCACGACGGCACTTGGTTTTTCACTTTAAGTCGGGTTTATTTATTTTAAGATCCAAGGCCCACGACGGCACTTGGATTTTCACTTGAATTCCGAATTACTTTTGATATCCCAGGCCCACGACGGCACTTGGATTTCCACTTAAATTCCGATTTATTTCCTTTCGATATCCAAGGCCCACGACGGCACTTGGATTTTCACTTAAATTCCGATTTATTGCCTTTAATATCCAAGGCCCACGACGTCACTTGGATTATCACTTTAATTCCGATTTATCTGCTTTTTAATATCCAAGGCCCACGACGGCACTTGGATTGTCACTTTAATTTCGACTTATCTCCTTTTTAATATCCAAGGCCCCTTAAATTCCGATTTATTTTCTTTAATATCCAAGGCCCACGACGGCTCTTGAATATTCACTTAAATTCCACTCACCTGGTAATATTTAAAAAAAATCCTTATTTGTTTGGCACGTTCCACTTATCTCGCCGGTTCACCACAGACTGCTCCCCAAGCTAGGCCTCGTCAGAGGCCTTCTCTCTCGACAGAGAATTCCAGGCTACTTCCAATGGCCTTCCCGACGTCGGCCCTCTGTTGCTGAGTCGACCACGTGGCTTGTACAATAACGGGATCTTGTTTGTATCATTGGCGTCAGGACTAACGAGACTTTGTTTATGTCTTCATATAAAATATTTTGGGCACAACTGTACTATTCTAATACTACATTCTTATCTCTTCAAAAAAACATAGCCGCATAATCAAAAAACTTTAGTAGTTACTATTAACTTAAATTAACACAATTCATTATACAAATTTATTATTTAAAATAACGTAAAAAAATGGAAACATGAGAAAAAAAATCCAATAAAAAAATTTTGTTGCCGCAAAAATGAGGCACGAGAGCTACAACATTACATGGAAGAGCAACAACATTACATGGAAATCCAATAAAATTGTTAGATGCCATGTTCCCCAGAATATCAGTAATATCATGGCTCAATAAGAAAAGGTTTGTCCGAAATTTTGGATGCTAGTTTCTCTTTCTTTGAGCGTTTTGTTTATCCTGCCAAGCTTTTGCGGTATACGCAAACTTTAGACACGCATTGGAAATTCCGGCGTGTCTAAAGTTCCTTTTGGAGCAGAGCCGGGAAGACCATATCTGGTCCCGCTGCCTTAAACGGTTGGAAGCTTTTGTTGGCAACCTTCACCATCGATTCATCAATTCTTGGTGCTTCCTCAGTCACATTTACTCTATCTTCCGATATATCTACGTATGTCGTGATTCTTAGCGGGAAGTGTGTATACATCACGTCTCTTTTATTGTTTCCATCTTATTACCCACATCATCCACCATTGTCTCGGCCTGTGTAGGGGGTTTTGAAAGAAACTTTTTTATTTTTGATACATCATATACGCTATCAACCTGTTCGCAGAAAAGCTTCCAAGAGATTGGTTTTTGCTGTTCTTACTATATTGTTGTATTCTTTAAGTTTGTTATGGTATCTGTCCCAGAATACTGCTAGTTTGTACGTCGAACTCTATTGTAAAGCCTTCGGACCTATTTTCCTTGGTTACGAATTACCCCTGTCATCCAGGGTTTTTGTAGACAGATTTCCTCTCCCGAATGGGGCAGCATTCCTCGAATAACTTTACTAAGGTCTCCGTTAATCTATTGACATCTCTGTCTATGTCATCTATGCTTAAGAATTAAATGTTTCCCTGCCCTAGCCTTTATTTTACTAGTCTCACATACTTCATGCAGTCAGTCTTAGATTTGTTAGGGAAACGTATTGGGTTCGGCGGCGGACGTGTTACTTCAAATCTTATACACCCATGATCAGAAAAAAGTGTTTTCCGAACCCCTCCAATTGTGAATATCGTTTATAAGATTTCCTGAACAAAAAGTAATGTCTAAAACCTCCTCCCTAATGCCATGTTTACGTTAGAACTTTTTGTAGGGTTAACCTACTTTGAGAGGATTTATTTGAAGTAAAAGTAATGGATATGACAATTTAAATCCAAATCCAGTGGGTTAACCCTCATATATATAAACGTACTATAATATTGTTTTCAAAGGTCGCTTTATTCCCAATATTAAGAATTATTAGGTCGTTAGTATTTAAATAATCTAACAGGCCTCCTGATCCCTTTTAGTAGTGTTAGTACTACCCACGCAATGTGGTGAGAGTTAGCATCGCTACCTATTAGTAATTCGTTACCTGTTTGTTTTGCTTGGCTCACCAACCGCTGCAGTTCCGACGTAGGTGGTAGTGTCGGCGCGTCGAACAGTAGGTAAACTGAACAGTAGGTATTGGTCTGTTCCAGAACTGCAAGAATCTATAAGTTTTTACTACGATAACCGATTTTCCCTCTATGATATCGAAGAAAATTGCAAAACTGGTAGATTCTTGCAGGTTCTGGAACAGATCATATATGTTGTCATTCCCCTGCCTTAGTGCTATTGCGCCCGATGTTGACAACTCTGGGGAGAAATTAAAACATGCATTTTTGTGACATATTATACAAGTTCTCCGTCGAGACCACCCTCTATTGGCATAGAACAGTTGGTAGTTAATATGTTTTAGTCCAGAGACCATGTTCTGAACAGTCCAATTTCCTGAATTAATCCAATGTGTATCTAACCTGTATTTATTAGTTCCATCAGTGCTTTTGTTGCCCTCCCGCTCCGAGGAAGGTTGATCTGGATGACCTCGAACACTATCTGCCAAATTCTCTGACGTATATCGTCGTTTTAGTTAGGCGAGGAATTTCGCTCTTCCTCACCAACTTGAGCCTTCCGTTTTCCCAAGGGTGTTTTATCATTCCGACAATCTCCCTTAGGGCGGCTGTGTTTGCATGTGCAGCAAGCTTAAAGAACATTTTATCGTTCTTTATGCCGCTGTTCATGATGGGAACTGCATCACCTCCTTCAATGATATGATCCAAGATTTTATTATTAACCATTTCCTCCATTGCTTCCAGGTGGTCTTTTGGTAAGTTGCCTGAACATTTATTGGTATCGATCAATGCGTAATGCAATTTGTCCCTATAAGGTTTCTTGGCTGTTTTCGCATAAGATGGCGGCTTCTTACTCGTTTCCTCGGTCCGCTTCCTCTTCTGCTGGGCAAGGGATTTCTTCTCAGAAACCCTAGATTTAGCAGTCGACTTCACGGCCGAGCAAACCTTTCCAGTGTTTGGGCTAACTTTGTCGCCCTCGGTCAAGTAATTCTTGTGACAGTCTCCTTTGCGTGGTCCTTGACTGAGTTTGCACAGAACATCTGTAGGTGGGAAGCTCTTTTTCGCTGGCTTCGCAGTGTTCGGTTCCTCAGGGACCTGATTCCTGCCTCCAAGGATGTGTGGAGAGTATTCGTAGCCCCCTTTGGAACAACCTGCGACTTTTCATTTTTGCTCATCTGTTGCTTACTGAGCTTTCGCCGTTTAGCCCCAGACGGCTTTTTCGTTGTTGTTGTGAGCTTCCCCAAGCTGTCATTCACTCCCTATATCATCTTGTGTGCCTCCTCCTTTATTGGGATTCGCAAAACGGTAGTATTGTTGCTGCTGCTGTCAGACTCGGGATTGTTGAAGGCTGGGTCGAGCGTACTTTTGCCCTGAGTTCCTCAGACTGTCTGTCTATCTTTTTGCCCGAAGGCTGTGTGCTTGTAGCAATACCTTTGACCACATATGCCAAGGCACCCACATTTGCGGGAGAAATTTACTCTCGATCGTTGGATGACGACGAGGTGGCTGGATCACAAACATCCGCCGGTACTGGATTTTTTAGGCCATACACCTTAACTTTATTCACTTTTTCTTCTTACATCTTTGCTTTTTGTTTTAGTCACTTTTTTGTCCGCGGTGAATCCGAAGATTCCCTAAGACGGTTGATCACACTATTCCGCTCCAATAAGTTCGTAACTGAACGTCCTTGTTCGAGCCATCCCCAGAACAAAATTAGCATATGTCCTAATTTGTCATCATATTTTTTATTGTTGTTACCAATGCTGTATAGGCTCACTGTCGCCCTTCTTGAATCGGAGTGATTTTTTCTGTAAAGGGGTTGCAGGGAACAAATCTTTTGCTCCTCCCCATCAAACTTAGCATTCTTCCTATTACTTTTGCCGCCATTGTCCTGGCTTCTCCAGACATCCCTATAAATAAAAAAAATTCCAAATTAAGGTATTTGGTTTGTTGCTGTCCTAATAATAATTTTTTATTGAAAGGAATACAATAAATTCTATATATAGTTCATACCTTGTTGGCGAATGTTTTCTCCATGCCCTTCCGTTACGAGTGAATGATGATAGAGGTGGAAGACGCTGCCATTAACTTGATTTCGATTATTATGTCGATTAGGATAATCGATCAGTCCAAAAATCACAATCGATTTTGTGAGATAAAATGATATGAAAAGAACATTATCTTTTCAATTTTAATCAAATTGTTAAAGCGACATCTATACTTCTTTAAGGTAATCTCCAATTTGGTATCGCCAATGCCGAGACAACAACTATGTTAAGTTTATTAGTCAATACAAAAACCAAACTTTAAACGTGTTGTAGAGTTTGGGACAAATGATTAACAAACGAAATTAAAAGTCTTCGTTGTACGTCGGAACACTGCATTTATGCAAGACTGTTTTCAGTAATTTTCGTTTGATATCGCAGTTTCGGTGATTTTTAATTATTTTTTGGTGTAAAAATAAAAACACAAAAATAATTGCTAGAAAATTGCCAGTACTAGTATTTTTTTCCTTTTCCATGCCGGAAAACTTGCCTAATATAAATTCGAATATGTTTTGTAAGAAATTAAAATCTAGCAATAGCAACAAAGCATCTTTTGCCACCATAAAACATATTTTCTATTACATTTTCCACTTGTTTTTTTACTTTACATCATTACGTATAGTATACGTTACTTACGTTTCTTTAACTCTCCCAAACGTCGTGATAGTTAAGACGCCACCGTGGAAAAAACCGTTCCACCTTGGTGTCTGTCCACACAACTCTTGAAATGTCATTTTGCCGGGTATTCTATACAACTTACAAGCACATTCTTGTGCCTTCATTACCACGTGAACTTCGTTGTTTATCTCTTCAAGCCGGTGCTGCCACCCCCAGAAACATGTCTCTCAATGAAGCCAAGAAAATTGCTGCCTATCGGGCCGTAGACGAGTGGGTTAAAACCAAGACTGCAGTGGGCATTGGCAGCGGCTCCACAGTTGTTTTTGCTGTTGATCGTTTGGCCGAACGTGTAAAGCAGGAGGGTTTAGAAGTTGTTTGTGTACCCACCAGTTTCCAGGCACGCCAATTAATTGTCGAAAATAATTTGGTTTTGGGAGATCTAGATCGTTACCCCAAATTGGATGTGGCAATTGATGGTGCCGATGAGGTCGACAAAGATATGGTCCTGATCAAGGGTGGTGGCGGCTGCCTCCTGCAAGAGAAAATTGTTGCCTCATGTGCCGAGAAACTCATCATCATTGCCGATTACACCAAGAATTCCCAAAAGTTGGGTGAACAATACAAAAAAGGTGTACCCATTGAAGTGGTGCCCATGGCCTATGTACCCATACGTGAAAAGATCCAACAGCTGTTTGGTGGTGAATTGAAACTGCGTATGGCCGTTGCCAAGGCTGGACCTTGTGTCACTGACAATGGAAATTTCATATTGGATTGGCATTTCCCACAGAGTGCCGATTTCAATTGGACTGAAGTGAACAGAGATTTGTTATTGATCCCTGGTGTTGTGGAAACGGGATTATTTGTGAATATGGCTACCAAGGCTTACTTTGGCATGGCTGATGGTTCCGTGAAGACCCAGGAGAAATAGAAGAGGAATATTGTTGTTAAGATATTTTAGAAATATAAGTTAATGCGAGTCTCGTAAATATTTTGTAAGTTCAAGGTCCAATTATTTGTCTGTTGCTTGTTTAAAATACTCTGCCATATATATTTTTGTTGAATCATATATTTGTTCAATAAACATTTTGATACTTTTTAAACTCAAGATAAGCTCAAGGTCATTTGTAACATACACTTTGGACTTGAGGTGTATGCGTGTGTGAGTGTGAAAGTAGTTGTTCTTGTATGACCTTTTCTGATTAGCTATGCTAATATGCCTGGCTCAGACATGGAAAATCAAACAGCACTTTAGAGACAACTTGTGGATGTTTATCGTATAGTCTTAAAAGACCAATAGGATTTTTCAATGCATATAAGACAGTTTTTGTAAAGAAGAGTTGCAAGAGATCGTCTGGGTATAGAAGGCCTCTATATGATATTTCACCCATAGAAGACCTCAGCAAGATCTCCAAACTAAAAAAAAATTAAGGAATCATTTTGGCTATAAAATGCAAAGAGGTCTTAAAGATTTTCTATATGTTGACCTCTCAAGGATCTGTTGAATGTATTCAAACTTTTAATGTTCTTCTGTCTTTTCCTACGTATGTACAATTTCATATATTATGGTAGACATGGGCATTGTATTCTGGGTAAAAAAACATTGAATTCCTTAAAAAAAATAGAAATCAGGGCTATATACACAGAGGACATGTGTGGAATGCCAATCGAAGGTCTTCATGGGTAAAAAGACAGATCTATGCCTAGAAGACCTTTGAGATCTTCTGTGTGTAAAATAACTTTTAAGGGCTCTATGTACGTATGATTATGAATTGGATTTTCTATAAAGAAGATATAGGCTTGCTCTTGTGTTATAAATTGGTATCCTACTTTTCGTCGGTATAAAGCCATTTATGTTTTAAAAAATCCTGTTAAATGTCTCCAATGAATAGGCGACCTGAAGCTGTTCTAGTTGAAGATTGTCAGGTCTTTTGTGTAAAAAAGGCCTTAATCAGACCTTCAATGTAAAGAAGACAACAAGAATGTCTTATTCGTAAAGACTTTTAGGTCTCCTGCGTATAGAAGACCTCAGGAAGGTTTTTAATTTCATATACATCCTCAGTAAAACTTCTGTATACAGAAATTCAGTAGAAGACGGTCTAAGCCTATTTTCCCTTGCAAGGTCTACTCCTTCATTAAGTTACATAAAGCCTTGTTTTCTCGATAAATTCATTAATATTATATCTTTGTTTGTTCTTCTGATGCTTTACAAAGTCTTTTCGGTTTAGGTAGGTAGGTAAACTAAATACAAAAAAAAATTATACATGATGTGTAGAAAAAATTGTTACTTATTAATATCTCACTCGCAGATATTATACATACTATAGGTATATGATATATGCTACCAGCAACTTTTGTTCGTTTCGCTTAACTAAAATGACTTTTTATTGCGACCAGGCATAATACTATTCTTCAAGTAATTAAAAAGCGACAACAGGCCTTGTTTCTTGCCACGCGAGAAGTAGTTCGTGACCACGTCTTGATCACCGGCCAAATGGCTGTCATTTACGGTGGTGGGTAGGACATTATCGTTTGCACTCAATGAAACGAATAAGGCGAAGGGCACCATCCATAGGCAAATTGTAAAATATGCCAATATCTAAAGAAGGAAATTAAAATCAATAAATAATCCTTAATACTATTCACAACGACTTCCAACATACCTGTGTAAATGGATAGTAGACCGAGGTAAAGTATTGGAAAGCCAACAAATGATTGGCGATTAGACACAGCACCGTACCAATAAACGGCAATGACAGGAATCGTATAAACGGAAATGTGCTCATTATGGCCAGATGCAGTAACTGGGTAACAAAGCCCATTATAATCATGCTCCACGGCAGGTCATCACAGAATATAAACATAACATAGACGAACATGGTAAAACTAATCATCATTAGGATCATTTTTCGCGCCGCACTTGTGTACTCTTCCACCAATTCAGCAATGTAGTACAGGCCAGCAGCTACAAACAAAGGAAAATAATATACAAATTTCTAAACAGAAAATGTGGCGGCTTGACTCACCAATTGATATGGTTACAAAAACAATTTGAAATATAAGAGCTATCCAGCTCAAAATGTACATAAAGCCCATGATTATTAATTCAAATAGGCTGCGCCCGTTTTCACCTCACACACAATCAAAATAAAATACGTCTGATTATTGTTGTTTTTCCTTTGGCAAATTTTGAGTTATTTTATCAAATGCGGACAGCTGTCATTTATGTAATAACACAAATGCCTCAAATATATATATTTTTAATTTTTAGTCCACAGAATTGTTTAATAACAAAACAACATTCCCCACGAACGATGGAAAAAAGAGGCGGCTGTCGTTGGCTGTAAATAATTGAAACGTCATCATCAGCTGTAGGTGTAGGAAGAAGAAGGAGAAAAATAACGTTAAAATTTGGGAATCAAAACAAAACTGATTGACAGCTTGTAAACAAAATATAACTGTTGAAAAATTAGGGTTATAAGAATCGAGGATTTTCAAAAACAAGCGTATCAAGAAGGCCAAGAGAAAAGTGAATTTCTAGGACCAGCAACAAACTATAAGCCTTTTTCAATTTTTATTAAAGAAAAAATACTTTTTTTGCAAAATGTAACATTCGCTTGCTTCGTTTCACCTTTATTCGCATTCTCATGCAAGAAAATATAGGGATCTATAGATCAATAACTTACCAATCAATGATATCGATTTTCATTGCCGATAATTTGCTTACATTAGGTTTTAAATGGTTATCGAATTAAATAACAGCAAGAAATGTAAATAATACAAATAAAATAACAAATTTCTTATTGAAATGCCTTAAGAAGTCTGAAAAACACAAATGGTTTGCTCCAGAACTGCAAGAATGTAAAAATGTTTACTACGAAAACTTATTTTTATTATATTAAAGAAATAGCAAATTCTTGCAGGTTTTAGAACAGAGCAGCGGTATCGCTGTTTCTGTACCGTGCAACAACCCTGTAAGAAATGTCAACGCCAATTAGTACTGGTTTATGCTCTCTTCCACAATGCAGGAATGTAAAACTTTTTACTACGATAATCGATTTTTCCTCGATGATATCAAAAAAAAATTGGAACAAACCAATTGTTAGTAGTCCTTACAGGGGCATATTAAGGCATTTAAGCCTGCGAGTCAGTAAATACACTAGTGACAGATATTATTTCTTACATTATATCCACATTTCACGATTTTTTTCTAGATTTCATAACTTCTGTTTGAAAAAAAAAAAATATTGTCATAAAAAAGCGGATCTCTATAGTAACTGATACATCCTGAACTTTTCCATGCTCAATAACACTAAAGACTGGTTAGGAAAAAAAACCTTAATAATTGATGAGCGCTTATAATGACTTTAACACAAAAGACTATACTTTAATTAAATCAACATAAGAGTCAATTAAAATATCGGATGGGTGATAGGATCTCCAACCAGACTTCTCAGGAAGGTTTATCAGAGACCAGAAAAAACAAATCCCAAGCCCATGGACATAGCAAATTTCTTTATTTGTCTTTTATTTCGCTAACACTTCTTCACGAGTGCAAATATAAAATTAGTAGTTGTGGTCAGTCATATTATATTAAAGTAGTCGTATTCCTAGAATCGCCTTGTGGAAGACAGAAGCCAACTATATCCCGAGTTTTATTTCTCCTTCCTACCCACCAATTCTCTACTCGATTTACCCGCCATAGCCTTAAGATAAACAAATGATCGACAATAGGAATCGATAACATTAAAGAGTAAGCAAGCGATCTATAGATCCCTACAATCTATTTCATGAGAATGCGAAAAAAAAGCGTGAGACGAAGCAAGCGAATGGTAGATTTTGCAAAAAAGAAAAATATTATCCTTAATTATAAAAAGGAAGGTGTAAAAGGAAAGTTAATACCGAAAACAACTAAATAAAACGCGTACAATTGTTGTAACAACAAAAGAGTGATAACAATTTGCGCTAAACAAGCAGGAACACGGTTTGCCAATTGCAATTTCTCGAAACGGCCCGAAACGCAACGAAAAGAAAAACGTGTTGGTAAAGAAACCAAGAAGAAGAAATCGGTGGAAGTGCAAAATAACAGGAGAACAATTTGCAATATTTGTAATTTTTCACAATTTCGATTAAGAAACGTGGAAGAAGTTGATGGTTGGTGCATGTGCCGCGTTCAGTGAAGCATTGCCAAGAAAAACAGTGGAATTTTTAGTGCGAGTGTTAGGTTAGAAACGAATAATCATTTTTTAATTGTGCGGTGTGCGGAAAAAGGGTATCAAGCCTCAATTAAAAAAAGAAAAAAAAAACGAAAGTGAGTGACTGACTGCCTGTGAGTGAAGACAACGGCGACAACATCGCCTAGTGGCTGGCCTGTATAACGGAAGAAACAACAACAAAAATGACAAACAATACAATGGAACCCCAAGAAGTAGTAGCCGCGGGCGAGGGGGATCAACAGCAACAACGCCAGGCAAATACAAACAATAACACAACAGAAAATAATGTACAGCCAACAGAATCGCAGCAACCCCAGCCAGCACAACAGATAGTTTCGGGGGAAGAACCTTTGGTAAATGGAGAGCAGCAGCAGCAGCAACAGGCAAATGAAAACATGGATGTAGATCAGGGAGTACCGCAAGCACAAGCAGACGGCGAAAATCCACCAGCTGTTAATGGCAATGATGAATCGCCAAATGCCAATGAAGCTGAGCAACAACCCGCCGCCAACGGTAATGATTCGGATGCCGATAATGGTGATGAGAATGCTCCCGCAGCTGAACCCTTCTATGGTTTCGAAGAATCTGAACCCAACCTAGAGGAGAAGGATATGCCTCAGGTATTGCAGTTTTGGGAATCGAAACACACCCAACCTGGTTTTGATCCAGTGCCAATATTGAAGAGGTAAGTAGCATAGCAACAAATTGAATTGTTGATATAAAATAAATGTTATATGTGCGATTGTAATGACTAACAGCAGCGAGTGTGTGCTACATAATTTTCGTTAAGATGACGTTTCATCTAATCAATAACAAAGACAATTGCATGAAAAGTACATGGCAAGAGTTAGGTTGGTTATAGTCAGGTTACAATAATGACAATTTTTATTTCCAAGAATTTTCTTAAGGTCCAATATGAAACTTGACTGATTAGAATCTATTTTGAAATTTTGTTGTTTTTGCTATTTCCAGAGTTTGTTTTAATATGAATATTTATTTCCAGATTGGCTGAAATTTTCGAAAAAGAAAAGGAAATATATATGCGCAAAGATCCAGATCCATTCGATGAACGTCATCCGTATCGTACAGATCCCAGTTGTCAATTTGGGTTTCTGTTAAAACAACTTTTTCGCAAGGATATTTTTATGAAAAAGGTAAGTTTGAATTAGCTTCATATTATCAGGGGTTTTGTAATAATTTTTCGCATTTCTTACAGCTTGTCAATGATTATCTACGCGATAACTATTTTACCCGCCAAAATGTGGAAAAAAGTTCCTTTGAGCTGAATATTTTGGCATTACGCCTGATATTGGGCATTATGCCAGGTCTGGAGACATCGGCTGTATTTCAAGTTGAATTTGATCATTTAATAAATCGCATCTATGGCTGGGCAGAAGATAGTTTTGAACCTTTGCAAAGTTATGCCACTGGCCTGTTGGCTGCCGCCATGGAAGTTACCGATATTGCTGTGACCTTTAGGGAAATGAATACACAACTTGTGCCGAAAATGATCAAGCGTTTGCATATGCTACAAGCTATTTATAAAAGTAGGTGTTATCCAGGGGTACTTTAGCTTTTTTCCAGAATATGCAGGAGTGAAAAATTTTACTTCAATAACCAAATTTTCCTTTAAAATAACGAAAAAATGCAAAATTAGTTCATTCTTTCAAGTTATGGAAGAGAGCATATACCTTAGGTATATTATGCCCCAAAATACAGCGACATTACAGCTTCTTATCCTTGGTTCATATTTTAAATTATCCTATTAAACTTCCATTATTTTCTTTCAGCCATCCTAAAATCCAACAATACAAATGATTCAATCAACATCTCAATTGAAAGTGAAGCTGGTCTTAATAATTCAAGTACCGGTGTTGAACGTATACTGCCCTCATGGATGGCCGATTCGGCCCCACAATCACCACAACGTTTAGATGATAGTACTGCAAGTGCACGTTGCCAAAATAGCAGCACCTTGGATACCTTTGTTAATTCTTCCAATCTATCGACTTTGTTGGAAAATAGCCGTGATGCTTTTCCCACCGGCAGTGGTGGCCGTTACTATAAAAAAATGTATATACCCATACATCCACCATCGGCCGAAACAAGTCAAATGTTAATTTTACGTTATCTCACCACAATGGGAGAATATCAGGAATTTTTGGGTTTAATTTTTGAACACAATGCCATGCAGCTGATATTTGGTTATATTGAAAATTTAGATCGTCGTGATACCTGTCTGGCCTTTGAAGCTTTAAAGTATTTGGCATCGTTGCTGTGTCACAAGAAATTTGCTTTGGATTTTATAACACATGGTGGTTTGGAGGTGAGTGTCATATTTTTTTTTATTATTCCAAAATTTGATAATATTGAATTTACTTCTTCCAGCGCTTGCTGAAAGTTCCTCGTCCCAGTATAGCTGCCACCGGTGTTTCCATAACCCTTTACTATTTGGCATATTCGGAAGATGCCATGGAGCGAATTTGTACAATGCCCAAACCTATTATAACGGAGTTGGTCAAATATGCTTTATGGATTCTGGGACATTCGTATGATTCAGGCAAATGCCATGCCACCATGTTCTTTGGTTTGAGCTTTCAGTTTAAGGCTATGTTGGATGAATTTGATGCCCAAGATGGCCTAAGAAAACTGTACAATGTGGTATGTATTGGCAAGATAATTCTGTCTAATTGGACTACGAAGATTTAGAGGTATAATAGGAGACTTATTTAAAGGCTTCTACCTCAAGAAGATTTTAAAAAATATTTTCTCTTTGCGTCAAATCTCGATTAAAATGTGCCATCTTGTCTTTTCAGATATCAGTTTTGAAAATCCTAAATCCTTCCAATAATGATGATGAAAATAACGAGCTCAACGAAGATGTCGAATGTGCCTCACGTCAAATTGTACGCCATGTATGCGTGGCCCTGAAACGCTACATGGAATCACATTTATTCTATAAATATAACAATTTTATGTGTCAACAATTTCCAGTATCAAGTGAATATAATCGTAATATAACCAAGGCAACAAAAACAACAATGGAACAGATAAATGAACAGATACGTAATTTACAAGAGAACACCTCGGTGAGGGCACATTGGTCACCGGTGGATCAACTATTGAAGTTGGGTGGCATAACGTTGCTATTGAAGATTATAGCTTTTTCATATGATTGGAATAATAGTGGACGTTCGGAAACGGTACGTTCCGCCTTGGATGTCTTGTCCATTTGTTGTGTTATACCGCGGGTATATGCCACCTATTGTGATATTTTGGAATTGCCTTTAACTGTTACAACATCGGGAATTTATTCGATTTTGGGTGCAGCAGCTGGTGATATTGTACCTGATGCAGATGTGCAAAAGTCGGCATTGGCAGTCCTGTGTAATTGTGTGTGTTCGCCCATAGCAAGGGTAAGTAGGAGTACAATTTACAATACAATTTGTTGTTTTAAGTCTAAACCCTTATTTTATTTTGCAGAAAGAACCAAGTACTTTGATCAAATGTTTCGGCTCATCGCGAAAGGCAAAACACAACAACAAATACAGTGAGGAACTTGTGGAAAAAGTTTGGGAATCGGTTTGTTCCAACAACGGCATTATTGTATTACTCTCGTTAATGCAAATAAAAACTCCCATAACTGATGCTGATTGCATACGTGGCATGGCCTGTCGTGCTTTAGCTGGTCTGGCAAGATGGGAACGAGTTAAACAAATCATTGGCAAACTACCACTCTTTGCCAGTGGTCAGATACAGACTCTAATGCGTGATCCCATACTTCAAGAGAAACGTACAGAACACGTCATTTTCCAGAAATATGCCCTTGAGCTATTGGAACAAGTTTCCGGCAAAGCAAAACCGTTTAGCCATCAATTGGATCCTTCGCTGGCCAATATCCATAAGGCAAATGTCATTGCCCAAACAAAGATTCAATATAACGAACATCAGCTCTATCAATTGATATATGACCATTTGGAATCTAAAGGTCTAACACAGACTGCGGCCATGTTACAAAAAGAAGCCAACATACAGTTGCCATCGACCACCATGAAGAGTTTCCACCAATCTCCGTTCGATTACAAAGTAATGCCGACAAGTTCAATTGCACGAAATCGTTTGAGATCCCGTATGCAAGATGTCAATCAGGCTATTAACAGTGCCACAGGGACGGGTGGCAACAATACAAATTCAACAACAGCCACATCAAATTGCGTAACTTCATCCACAAACTGTACGGCCAGTGGCAAGGATGCACTAAACGACAGCTTTTCCGAAGATCAATCAATGACCACAGTCACCCCCATCAAACTTGTGAAAAAGACTGAAAAAGTGGCACCCAGTTTAACAGGGACATCTGCCAGCAACTTAAACAGCGCAAGTTCATCTGCCAAATCATTGCAAAAACAAATTTCAGTAGTTGATCCCCACAGTATGGTAATGGATATAAGTTCACCGCCACAATTCTCCAACAATGTTACTCTGAGCACAATTGTTACCGAATATCTTACCAATCAACATGCTCTTTGTAATAACCCCATGACAACATGTCCACAATTTGATTTGCTGACACCACACAAGTGTCCAGATCCCAAACCCAATCGTATATTGGGTGATAATTTAAATGTGGCAACACGTTTCTTCCGCTCACAAGATGGTTACAATACAAGAAGATTAAATCGTCGTTTTATTCATTCACATTTCGCACCATGGAAGACAATACGTTCGAATGATTATAATGATGTGATATTTTCCTCATGTCACATTGTACCCAATTCGGATATACTGCTCGCTGGAACACATCAGGGTGATGCCAAGGTCTACAACATGAATCATGGTACAGAATTGTTTTCGGCCCGTTGTCATAGCTATATAATTGATTCGATTCTGTCGAATCGTACGGGAGATTTGGTATTGACATCTGTGTCATGGCGCAGTCCTTTGAGTGTTTTGTGGGCTGTTAAGGATAATGATTTCATTTCGAAAATAGAATTTGTCGATGAGTTTTATTGTGAATTTAGTAAACTATCTCAGGATAAAGTTATTGGCACGCTAATGGATGTGAGTGGGAAATTGGAAATATTTTGAAAATATAATTGAATTAATGTAAATTTTGCATTCGTTTTACAGGCCTGCACTATTTATGACATTGGAACGGGTCAAAAGATTTCCACCTTTACTCCCACATTGGGCAATCAGTACACAAAGAATCGTGCTACCTTCTGTCCCACCGATGAACTGGTTTTATCAAGTTTGTATTATTGAAATTTTTAGGTTTTTAAAAAAATAAAATAATTTTTTTTCCTTTTTTAGGTGGCGTTTTATGGGATGTACGTTCCGGCAAAGAAATACACAAATTCGATAAATTGAATCAGTCCTTATCTGGTGTTTTCCATCCAAATGGTTTAGAGGTATGCGTAAATGAATGTAGAGAAGCTTTTTTAAATATTTATAGAGTCCTCTACAAAGTTTTCCAATCCTCCAGAAAATACTCATAATACCCACGAACATCCTTGTGATAGACCTTCAAAAAGTAGTCTCAAATATCAACGAATTTTCATCCGATAGGCCTCAGAAAATATTCTTTAATAACCACGAATATCCTTTTGATAGATCTACAGAAAATAATCTTAAATACCCACAAATTTTCATCCGATATTCCTTCAGAAAATATTATTAAATACCTACGAATAACCTTCTGATAGACCTTCTGAAATCAGCCTCAAATAACCACGATTTTTCATTCGATAGTCCTTCAGAAAATACTCTTACATACCCACGAATATCCTTCCGATAGTCCTTAGAACATATATTCATCAAATCCACGAATATCGTTCTTGGATTCTTCAAAAAATATTATTAACAAAATCATTTTCGGACCGATTTTAGTCATTCAAAATAACTTTAAAATTCTTTAAAAATTCACGAATATCTGTCTAAAAGTTCTTTAAAATACACGAATATCAGTCCAACAGTTCTTTAAAAATTCATGAATATCGGTCCAAAAGTTCTTTAAAAATCCACGAATATCGGACCAAAAGTTCTTTAAAAATCCACGAATATCGGTTCTTGGATTCTTTAAAAATCCACGAATATCGGTCCAAAATTTCCTTAAAATCCACGTATATCAGCCCAAGTTCTTTCTTTCTTTAAAATCCAAGAATATCGGTCCAAAAGCTCTTTAAAATCCACGAATAACGGTTCAAAAGCTCTTTAAAATCCCCGAATATCGGTCCAAAAGCTCTTTAAAATCCACGAATATCGGTCCAAAATTTCTTTAAAAATCCACGAATATCGGTTCTTGGATTCTTTAAAAATCCACGAATATCGGTCCAAAAGTTCTTAAAAAATCCACGAATATTGGTCTGGTAGTCCTTCAAACAATACCATTTTAAAATCCACGAGTAGCGGTCGGATTATTCTCCCAACCTTTCTGATCCCATTTTTTTGATTCTATGCTATTTAAGTTATTTTCATCTAATCCTTTTTCCATTTCTTTCAGATCATTTCCAATACCGAAGTCTGGGATTTGCGAACATTCCATTTACTGCAAACCGTACCCGTATTGGATCAATGCCTCATTAAATTTTCGCCGCTGAATGTTATGTACGGCATACGACTGGAAATGGAAAATCGTTCCGATTTTGATGATACAACAAGCTATGATACGAGTTTTAAGGTGCTGGATGCCTATGATTATACATCGATTGCAACTATAGATGCCAAACGTAGTCTGTTCGATTTGAGCGTTAGCGGCAATGGTAGCCTGATAGCATTGGTCGAGGATCAGCCATCGTACGAATCGAAACCGGAGACATTTGTGAAAATCTATTGTGTCGGCATGAAGAAAACCGAACAGGACGAAGAGGTGTGTGATATTGAAATTGATAATGCGACCCCAGGCAATGGTTCGTCGAACTTACGCAACTTGTCGAGATTGCATGAAAATTTTGGTACAAGCGGCGATATGGGACGAGCCATTGCCAGAGAGGATGTTAGTGGGTCTTTGGGCCTATTTGTGACGACGGCTCCCAGTGGCAATGGCGGCGTCGGTGGTCATGCTGTGCCGCGCCCCAGGGCTGCTGGCGGCGTTAACGATGCTAATGCTGGCCGAGATGGTGGTGGTGGGGAAAGAGGAGGAGCAGGAGCAGCGGCAGCACAGGACAATAATCTTGGTTTGGGTCCACTACGTGGCAATCGCAATCTTCTGGATTTCAATCCGTCAAGACGTCCCTTACTACTACAACCCCGCAGCCATAATCATCATCACCATCCTGCCCATTCTCAGCCAAATCGTGCCAACAACAATCATGGCAACAATAGCAATAACAATCGTGACGCTGGCCTTCGGGCTTTACCAGTACCAGCAGCGGTAGCAGCTGGCGCAGCCGCAGCATTAGAGCCCGCAAGATTGGCGGGCAATGATAATGGCGGCGGCAGCGGCCGTGGTGGCAACGGCGCAGCAGTGGGCAATAATCTTAATAATGGTCTCAATGATGATTTGTTTGATTTGGAAGATATTGCAATAAATTTATTGTCTCTGCTTGTAGGAAGATGAAGAGGAGTGTGAGTCCGATGAGGACAATTCCGATAGTGATGACTCAAACAATGGTAAGTGGACGGTAATTGTGAGGCTAAAATGGTTTGAAGGCAAATTCGAATGAATGAAACCCAAACTTGTACAAACCCAAATTTGTCAAATTTTGAATACAAATTCGAATGAATGAAACCCAAATTTGTACAAAATCTGGTTAATGGTTAATTCACTCAAATGAATTTCGAATCATTTTGGTCACATCGCGTCACAAGTATTCTAATTTTGTAATTTCAAAATTTAGTGTTTTGAAATGAAATAATTTTTCTGATACCCTCTCTTCCAGTGTTTGATATTATTCCTGATGAACGTGGTGGCCGTAGACGCCGTGCCAACAATGCTGATGCGGATGATGATGATCAGGACGATGATGATGATGACGACGACGATGATGACCAGGATGATGATGATGACGACGACGATAGCGATGATGACGATGACGACGACGATGATGATGATGACGACGATGAGGGTTGGATGGACATCATGCAAGTCGATGATCTTGCATTTTATTAGTCGTCAAATTATGTCACATGTTCCACATCATGCTGCCTGTCTACTGTCCTGTACATCCCATCAAAAGTGTAAAAGCCTTGCAGAGTCTCCTTCATCCTACTTTATGGTCTCTCAAGCGAGAACTGTTCCTGCCAATTGTTTTTGTTGTTCTCTGATGATGAAAATGAAAGGCCCAACGATTGTTATTGTGAGCATGCCCTATGTGCTTGAAAGAATTTCAACCATTTCTTTGCATAAACTGTTTGTCTTTCTCAAACGTTGTTTTCTCCAATGAACGACTACAGTCAACATTTCTATAAAAACAAAATATCGATAGATTTTCTTTAGTTTCCTTTTTTTTAAATTTAGTTTTAAGTTATATTGCTAGATGTTTATTATTCTAATGTTCTTTATTTTTTTGTAATGCATTAAAATTCTGTGTAAAATATTTTTTTTTTTGCATTTTTGTATTAGAAACGAATCAGTTTTTTTTTTCACCTAAACTATTTTTATTATGATTTCTCAGTTGCTTTTTTTTACAAATAAATTTTGCCAAGAAACTTCTGATTTAATTTGTGATTCATTTTCGTTGGAGTACTTACCTTCGTCTCCAATGCAATGGAATTGTTCAAAATAACAACAAAAGAAAAACAAATATTTTGTCTAACAAAAGCAAAACTACTACAAAAACAAAATCAATATCAATTACCAATCGTATATATGTATGTAATTTACTAATTTAGTAGGTATATATTTAAAAATAACACAAAAACGAAACAAAAAAATTATAAGAAATTGTATAACAATTTACTTGCATTTTTATAAAAAAAGAAAGAAAGAAAAAAAAAAATACGAATCTAAATGAACTGTATTTAAAATAAAAAAAAACTGTTTCAAAGAAAAAAGAAGATAAATACCATTTTTTTCTTTAAGATACCCCATAGCTGGCCAACGGCCATATCAGAACTTGTGCAATGTCTTCCTTCATAAACTGGCGAAGATAAACAGCTATGGGAGTAATTTAACCGAAGGCGTCAGGGGAATTCTTTGTATTGTTGGGGGGAAATTCTCTCATTCGATATTTGAAAAAATATCGATCAAAATTTATTTCTGCATGCTCATTTTAGATTGATAAAAATTACAATTTTGATAGAAACAACTGGTGTTCAACGCTTACATTCGATATTTAGTCGATTCTACCGAAGATAAAAATTATATCGAGCTAAAACTTATAAAGAGGGAAGACAGAGAGAGAATAAGCTATAGAGACTTCTTTCGCATGCCACTTCTCCAATAACTAAAACTTCAGTACTTTTTACGTAGTGGCGCCTTTGTCATCCAAAAGTGGCGCCCAATGTTAAAAATGACCAGTATTAAAATGGGTCCACATTCCAGTACTGATTCTCTAAAATAAGTTTTCTTAAATAATAATATAACACCCACATGAAGTTGGCGCTCTATTGCAGGCATTTCTCAAGATATATAAAATATCCTGTTCAAATATCCAATTGTAAGTCTACATTCTCGAATTGTTACCATACTAAGGTGGCAACTAGTTAGGAATATCCCAGTGTTTAAAAAATATTCTCCGAAAAACATTAACACATGTTTATGTTTTAGTGCTGTCTGTTTTGAAATAAAATTGGCGCCCAATGTAAGTAACTTCCAAGTGCATTGAAAAAAAAAAAACTATAAAACCACAGCTATATGACCACAGAGGGTTTGGTATTCTCATATGTAGAGGGCACCTATTTCCTAAATTTTGTTAAAAATGGAAAATCTTTATCCCATTGGAAGGTGGTTCCCACATGAGAACGTCATAGAAATGTTCGCAAAAAATTGCAATATTTGAGTTTTGGTGCTGGTGCCACATGGAGATGGCGCCATATGCTTGGAATTTTGTCGTGTACAAAAAATCTTCTTTTAAAAAACACTGATTTCAAACTGACGCCCAGGTGGGGCTTCGTAGAAAATATTTTCCAAAAAAAATCCAATATTATATATATTCCAATAATTTTTCCCTTACAAAAAGCTCTGGAGCAATACACGCTATATGTTTTTAATGTTAATCATCTTCGAGAGATCGCAATAACGGCCTATATTATCGATGGCGTCCCGTTGAGATAATCGATGGAAATGTTCGAAAAAAATAATTTGATTATAGTTTAAGTTTCCACATAGAGGTGGCGTCCTATATTAAGAATTCTGTAATGTATAGAAAAATATTGCCATATGAAGGTAGCGCCCAGCTAGAGACATTTTCATTTCGTCCACAAATATAGCCAATATTATTCCAAACTGCGGGATGTATAGGTTCCATGTATGGTTTGCAATAGAAAATTTTCTATAACCAAGTTGAATAAGCCCATGTTTGAGTTTAATAAAATCAGTAAATGAAAGCCGTCTATAATCGTTCAAACTGAAGGATAATAAGTAGCGCCAGAGTGCTTAAAGGAAATCCCCTTTATTCAGTATTTCTTATATAAAGGTGGCGCCCGATTAAAAAATGTTGCCGAACTGCAACAACATTTCAGACTGCTGTCATTTCTAAGCCATTCGTCCGACAGCTGTTAATATTATTCCAAATTATAATCTCTCGGTACCGTGATCCTGGTAGATTAGCCCGACGTCAAGAACGTGGACGGAAGCAAACAGCAACTTCAGCAGAAATGGTTTGAAAAGTAAAGAAGTGACTTGATCAAATCCTGCGTCGCAGTGGCCGAAAATGGCTCGTGAACTGAACATATCGCAATATTCCATTCGGCAAATATAGAAAAATGAGCTCGGGGTAAAGCCATTGAAATTCCAAAAAGTGCAAGAACTTACACCGCAACAGAAAGAAAATAGACTCAAAAGAGCTAAAGAGTTGGCCGAAAGTGGTGAACTGCCGAATTTGATTTTCTCCGTCTCCGATGAGAAAACATTCGTTGTCCAGCAGTTTGTAAACAAACAAAAATGATCGCATTTACTTGTCAAGGAGGTCAGCTGAAAATTTGCAGCTTCGGTTGGCCACCAGAACTCAAGCGCCGGCGTGGTGTGGGCCGTCATAACAGCCGATGGTCGCTCTCCGCTCGTATTAATCAGAACAAATGCCGAATATAAGCAAGCGCTTCGCCGGGAGTGATCCAAAATTCCGCAGAGCAACATGGCGGTTTCATTAGCCGTTTGAAGGCCATAATTCGTACCAAAGGTGGTCAATTCGATTAAATCTAAACTTATTCTAAAAGTTGGTTCTATTTCCGACATTTTTTTGCTTTTATTCAATGAAATTAAAAAAATAATGTAAATATTATGCCGTTTGACGTTGTTGCAGTTTTTTCATCTCACCCTGTACATACATACATATACATCTTTTTTATAATTTTAAACAAACTTAAATACAGGTCCCCGTTGTACTGTTTCCATATGAAGGTGGCGCTCCATTATTTATCATATTTATTTATCATAAGAAAACTCTTCTTCCAAATATTTAAGTATAGGTGGCGCCCGATTAAAGAAGTTCTACAGTTTGTAGAAATAGAAAATATCCTTTGGGTCCTTAAAAGTTATGTAATCTGTAGAAGATCTTGAGTGCAATTTCTACCTTTAGATCTCCTATCTGTAGATGGCAAAAATGTCATCCACATAAGATTCTTTAAAGGCATTCTTCACATGTAAATGAGGCAGGATTTAGAAAATCTTCTTTTAAAAATGTAAATATAGGTGGCGCCCAACTAAAAGAAGTTTTGCAGTTTGTAGAAATAGAAAATATCCTTCTGATCTGTAGAAGATATGAAATCTGATTAAAACCCGTTAAATCTCCTATCTCTAGAAGACCTTTAAAATAAATTTAATCTAAAGAAGACTCATCTCAACTGTCTCGGGTATTGGACATTTGCTTACAAAGAATGTTTTTAATGTTATGCTTCAAAATCAACCATATTCGAAAATATATCGTCGCAAAAAAGAGAATTTAAATTCAAATTATAATTCGTTGCTGAGCCTATGCAGTTCGGTATTTTTTTTTTGTTTTGTTTACCTGCAAATCAATTCGATTTCAATGACCTCCGTTGGTCGAATGATAGCATGACAGCCATAAGTCATACACATATCCATATGAATTGTCTAGCTAGCAGAGGAATAAAGACAAATAGTTTAAAAGAATTGACAATTATTAATCAAATTTATCTTATCTATAGCAAATACCAACAAGAAATAAAAAGAAAAAAAAAATGCTACTCAGATTAATGTCGGCTATACGGAGGGGGTGTAATATTTTTGCAAAGCTTAAACTAAATTTTCCAAACTTTCCAAAAATAAATCAAAGAAATATTCAACAATAAAGTTAATACGGCGAGTGATAGGGATGTCGTGTCAGAAATCATAAGTTTGTTAGGGATTTGCAGGTTTGATGAACTTTTGAATATTTCAAAATGGAATGTGAATAAAGGTGAGAATACATAGAACGCTTTTCTGACTGGCTTAAGTCATCGACTGGCTTCTTCGCCCACATATAACGGTACCTCCCGATATTCGGTATTTTTATGATTTTAGCGACATTTTTCACCGGAATTCTTTCAAATTTGGTATTTGAAGTTCGTAATGGATATTACAGCCTATGACAGAAAATTGTCCGCGCAGGTCCACGTCTTCGTATAGCCCCCATATAACGGTACCTCCCGATATTCGGTATTTTGATGATTTTAACGACATTATTTACCGGAATTATTTCAAATTTAGTATTTGAAGTTCGTAATAGATATTACAGTCTATGACAGAAAATTGTCTGTGCAAGTCCACGTCTTCATATAGCCCCCCGTATAATGGCACCTACCGATATTCGGTATTTTGATGATTTTCACGACATTATTCACCGGAATTGTTTCAAATTTGGCATTTGATGTTCGTAATGGATACTACAGTCTAAGACAGAAAATTGTCCGTGCAGGTCCACTTCTTCGTATAGCCCCCCGTATAACGGTACCTCCCGATATTCGATATTTTGATGATTTTAGCGACATTATTCACCGGAATTGTTTCAAATTTGGTATTTACAGTCCGTAATGGATACTACAGCCTATGACAGAAAATTGTCTGTGTAGGTCCACGTCTTCGTATAGCCCCCCATATAACGGTACCTCCCGATATTCAGTATTTTGGTGATTTTAGCGACATAATTTACCGGAATTATTTCAAATTTGGTATTTGAAGCCTATGACAGAAAATTGTATGTGCAGGTCTACGCCTTCGTATAGCCTCCACATAACGGTACATACCGATATTCGGTATTTTGATGAGTTTCGCGACATTTTTCACCGGAATTGTTTCAAATTTGCATTTGATGTTCGTAATGGATACTACAGTCTAAGACAGAAAATTGTCCGCGCAGGTCCACCTCTTCGTATAGCCCCCCATATAACGGTACCTCCCGATTTTCGTTATATTGATGATTTAAGCGACATTATTCTCCGGATTTGTTTCAAATTTGGTATTTGAGGTTCGTAATGGATACTACATCCTACGACAGAAAATTGTCTGTGCAGGTCCATGTCTTCGTATAGCCCCCCATATAACGACACCTACCGATATTCGGTATTTTGATGATTTTCGCGACATTATTCACCGGAATTATTTCAAATTTGGTATTTGAAGTTCGTAATGGATTCTACAGCCTATGAGAGAAAGTTTTCTGTGTAGGTCCACGTCTTCGTATAGCCCCCATATAATGGTACCCCCCGATATTCGATATTTTGGTGATTTAAGCGACATTATTCACCGGAATTATTTCAAATTTGGTATTTGAAGTTCGTAATGGATCCTAAGACAGAAAATTGTCTGTGCAGATCCACGTTTTGGTATAGCCCCCATATAATGGTACCTCCCTATATTCGGTATTTTGACGATTTAGTTACATTATTCACGGAATTTTTTCCAGTTTCGCATTTGAATATTGTAATGGCTTACGACAAAAGTTGCCTATGCAGGTCCACGTCGTCGTACAGACCCTAATATAACATCTGCATTCGGTATTTTTAAGATTTTAACAGAATTTTTAACGGATTTTATTTTTTGAAAATTGTCAAATTCGATCCAAATGGTGGAGGCTATTCAAAGTTCGACCCGACCGAATTTAGTGTTTTTTTAATTGTTCTATTATTCTGATAGTCAGTATAGAGAGAATTATGCTTATTAAACGCGTGTCTGTTTTTTTCCTGACACTCTTATAAAGGCATGTCAGAACCGCACATGCATCCTGCCGTCGTTTTCCTTTATGATTTCACATTAATATGAAGCTATGACGCCAAGTCTCGTCACATTTATCCCATGTTTATAAAAGATAAAACAACTGAGTTCATGTCCTGGCTGTCAAATTAAAAAAAGGCTTCTGGATGGCAAATACAATAATAAAATTATGAATGAAAAAGGTTATATTTTTTTTAGGTTTAAAGGTTTAATTTTTTTGTCCTTTTCTTTCCTTTTTTACACATTTCATGTTTTACTTTATTTTCAAATTGATTGACAGCATGGTAGGAAAATACAACTCTGATACCAGGCAATTTATCCTGTGTAAACGTCGTGTTATAATTATGATTGTCCAGGGGCTGGATTCTTCTGAAATGAAAAATATTTCCTTTATAATAGTTTTCATTTCTTTCCTTTATAAAAGCCTTTATTTCAAATTTTCATAGAACAAGAATTGAGGCCCAGTACTGAAAATATCATCAAAAATATCCCAATTTCAAAAGTTCAAAAATCCCATAAAACTAAAAATTAATTAAACTACGCCTTCTCTACAAAAAAAAAAACAGGCAATAGTTACAAAAACCAACAACTCTAATGTCACCTGGAACTTGTTTTGAAAATAATGACCAAAAACATGATTGGATGGCATTGCATCTGTAAACAAACGCAACATAAATCAACGATATTCTAAAAACTCCTCAACAAAAAAAAAAAAAACTGACACTGACCACACCATGAAGAGAAAATGTTTGTTTTTTTTGAGGTGTGTTTTACAAAACCAAAAACAAAGTAAAAACTGTCACCTGAATGCTATCCTAGCCCCCGAAATGTGAGTCAGTACAACATGTATGTGAGTGTGTGTGGTTAGAACTTTTTTTTTAATTTATTTTGTTTTTTATTTTGTCTTTATTTTTTATGAATTCAATTAACTCAAAACTTAATCGTTAAAGGAAAATTATTTTCAGTTGTTAATAAACCACGAAACGCTCTAGACGATAAATGCAACGAATTTAAATACGCTTTAAACGCCGCGTAACCTTACGAAACGTGTGACGTACATGTGTTTTATCTAACGGATAATTGGATAATTTTTTTTGTGTGAATTGTCATTATCATCACTGGAAACAATAACAACAAAAATAACAAAATGTTTAAAAATCCCGGAGATTTTCGTTTTGTTGACGTTGTATTGTTGTTCACTCTAAGTGTTATTGTCTTTGGCAAAGTTGCGGAGGCCAAATTATTCGAGGAAAATACCAAATTTTGCCTTAGAACCGAACCAATGCTATTGGCCGACATTGAAAAGCACAAAAGTCCCCAGGGACACAATAAGTCGTGTGAAATTGTGGCAACTCTGTTGACATCACTGGAAAAGGTATTTAAAGAGTGAAATGTGTAAAAGGAATATAAGTTTATTTAAAAGAAGGGATTTAGTGTAGTCCGCTCCATAATTTTTATAATCGACATTTTTTACAAAGGACATTTTATGTGTATTGAACGATTTTGTATACCCTCCGTAATTCCAAATCTTCGAGCTCCGTCTTCATATGAGAGCTGAGAAGTAGTAAATCTATTTTAAAAATGTAGAAGTTTGGTAACGGAACGCCATCCTTTAAAATCGATATATTACACAATTAAAAAATCTGTACAAAATAGGTATTTAAAATCGGGCGACATCTTCATATGAGAACAGAAACGCAATGTGGTTTGTTAATTAACTGTGTTCGGAGAGAATTTTTTTCTGCGGAAATCCTAATACCGATTGGAGTGCCATATATATACTTTATTAAAAATAATCTTATTAAAACAATTAAAATCTATATCCTTCGAAATCAGAGCCTCAATTCTTGTTCTATGAAAATGTGAAGTGAAAACTTTTGTAAAAGAAGAAATGTCAAATGAAAAATTTTATAAAGGAAATATTTTTCATTTCATATTTTTATAGAACAAGAATCCAGTCCCAGGAACCAGTATTACTTTGCCAAGAAGCTAGTTTAGTAGATCATTTTCTGCATTGCTTACATATGGCGATACCTTTATTTGAAAGTTAACAATTAACAATTAACAATTTTCTTAAATGGGCTTCATTTTATATGAACCAATGTTAAATTTTAAAATTCCGAACATTAGGGACTAGATTTTGGTTCTCCGATAAAGTGAAAAGTCATTTCAAATTTTGCCCTAGGTACTATCTTTTTATGAGAAGACATACAGAGTAGACTATTCGTAGTTTTTAAAATGGACGCCACCTGCAAATGGTTGTCGACAACATTAACCTGTTTTAATATGCCAAGCTATGATGCCAAGCCTCGTCACATTTATCCCATGTTTACAAAAGATAAGTCAACTGAGTTCATCTCCTGGCTGACAAATTTAAAAATCGCATCCAGAAAATGGCGAAAAGTAAAATAAAATTATGAATGAAAGGTGTTATACAGGAGGCGCACTTCTCACATTTTTTAATGTTTTAAAAGCACGTTGAGTTTTCACAATTGACTTCTTCTGTTGAATGTAAATTTCAACTATTTCAGAGCGCTCGCGTGGCGTGTATTGGTTCATGGTAAAAATCTGCTTGGACTGACGCTTCAAACGCGGTATGTCATTAAGCGATGTGACATCTCTGTCAAAAGTTATGGCGTTGCCAGATGGGTCCGTCGAATATGGGCAACCCTGTGTGTGTTTGCATACCACCTTCAAATGGTTATCATCAACATGGACCTGTATTAAAATTCAAGTTAAGTAATTAACCATTTTAGAAGGAATTTTTCTAATTTTGGCGCCACCTATAAGGGACCAAGCCCAAATTAGTGACCTATATTTACATTTCTAATAGGATTTTTAGTTCACGCCACCTTCATATGAAAATTGTAACTGATTGCGAATTACTTTTATTTATTTTCTTATATCCCTCACCACACTGTGTTTAGGGTATTATGTCTTTGTGCATTTGTTTGTAACACAGAGAGGAATAGACTCACATTCTGAGTCGATTTATGTATGTCCGAGGGTATGTCTGTCCATGTATTTTTGTAAACAAGGTACAGGTCGCATCTATTGCTCGATCGAGATGAAATTTTGAACAAATCAGTTGTTTGGCCCAAGGACGAACCCTATTGAAGATAATCGGTCAGAATTTAGATATAGCTCCTATATGTATCTTCATCCGATTTGAATTTTTTTGTGTACCAAATGTTTTTTTAGTCCAAATATGATGGAATTTGACACACACGTCCAAATTGAGCATAGAAACAAGTATGTACCATTTGGTGATAATCGGTTGAGATATAGCAATAGCTCCCATATATATTGTCCATTCGATTTTTAATTTTGTCCCCCACAGCCATACATATTACTCTGTAACAACGATATTCAGGGAAATACATCATCAATACCTTTGCCAAATTTCATCGGTTCAGATTTGGATATAGTTCCCATGTATATTTTTATCCGATTTCAAGATTATTGTGCACGAAGTGGTTAGCGCAGGCCCGAGTTGAATGAATTTGGCAAATACGACCGAATTCAAGAGAAATGAAAGAAAGTGTGTCAAATGTAATGAAAATCGGTTCAGATATAGCTATAGGTCCCGTATATATGTCTCATCCGATATTGTGTTTAAGTCCCTCTCACCTCTAAAATACATCATGGTTGGTTGGTGATTTAATTCTCATAAATTCCCTATAAATACGTTTATTTGTTGTGGATAGCTTTACTAAATATGCAGAGTGGTGTAGGGTATCATAACATCGACTTTTGTCATTTATTTACTGTTTTTTAGAGATTTTTAATTCACTTTGAAATTCCTGGTATCACAGCCATCTGTATTTGACAATTTATCTGTATATTAACATTTATTAGACAGGAATTTTATAAACACCAGGAAATTCTCAGAATCCATTAACGCCCATGATAAAGTTAAGAAGGTAAAGCCATGCAATCATATGTTTATAATTTTTTTCAAAATTATTCGTTTGACAACATCTCATTGTCAAAATATATATTTATAAATGTATACACAGAAATCAGAGATGGGACCCAGAAAATGCAGCTTATTTGAAATGGCTCTACCTTCTTAATTTTACCATGATTCCATTCATGGTGCAATAATTACAAGGTAGGACAGTTTCATATTATTTGAAAAAAAAAAAAACACAACCCTCCAACTAGAGTCTTGTAACATCAAATTTACTTATAACAAATGCAACAAGTTGTTTTGTTTATTTAATACTTTTCTCGTCTAAAATCTGTGTATATATTTCACATCACAAGAATTTAGGCGGGGCCGACTTTATGATATCCTACACCACTTTGCTAATTTAGTAGAGCTCCGCATAACAATTAAAAGTTTTTATAGGAGAATTCAATCATACACGCTATGATTATAATTAAATTTAAAGTTCAAAGGACTAAATATGCCAATTGCCCATTTGGTGCACAATTAATTTGAAATCGGATAAATATCTGACAGACTATATATTTACATGTTCGCCCATATCAATGTTAAATCTAACCAACCATATATATATAACGACAATGATCTTACAAAAATTGAAGCATTAAAGTTTTTTTTTCTGCACACTCCAAAATACTATGACAATTGCTCCCAAAAGAGGAACTAAGCTTCTTGACAACCCAAGTTTTCACCCTGAAAATGTTGTTGAAACACATAACAACAACAACGACAGCTTTAAAATAACATTATTAATCACTTGATATCCGTAATTAGCCTTAAACGAGCCAAATATGTTCAGTAAAGTGTCTGGCAATGTTGTTAATGCCAAATAAGACATTAATTGAATGATTCAATCAAATGTTGACAGACAAATATTTACATTGTGTTTTATGTCAGTGTCAGTTTCATAGAAAATGGATCAATGTCAATTATCTTATATAGCGTTCACATTATTAATATAATCAAGTTTTTTCTTTCTCTCATTGCAGGAAAGTTTTCGCAATACAATGTGCAAGGATCACGGAAGTTCCCACAAGGATGCATTTTATTTTTTAAAACTCTACAATGGTGATTTGGTGGGCCGTGGAACGTATCATGAAATTTGCAAGGGTGAAAAGAATCCCCTATTGGCCTGGATCCCGTATGAAATGATGCAAAAGTATTATGCTCAAGAATTGAATCCGAAAGAGGTGTGTAAGTTGAGTTAAACTATGGCAGAGTAAGCTACACAATTAATAAGGTCTCATGGTTGTAAAATTTAGACCTTAAGACAAAAACACAATCAGCGTTTGCTTCATTTTCTAGCTTTGCTTATGTCAAATTATAAAGGAATGTCAGAGCTCTTATAATCTCAAGTACGTTTATATTTACGAGATTCACTCGATGTCAAATGTCAATTCCGTAGCGTATACGTCGAATAATATACACTGGATTTTTATTAATACGATCTATGTGACGTATATGCTGTGGAATTGATATTTCAAATTGAGTGGTCTTAGCAGTCTAAACGTAATCATAGCTTCAACGAAGCAAGAAATTTGATTCCGCTTCACTCCTTAAGTATTAATGTCAAATTACAAAGGGGGAACGACGGTAGAATTTGAGAGCGGCTCTGGCATTCCTTTATGATATGTCACAAAATATGCCATGCGAAGACCTCAAGATGTTTATGTACCCACACCTTTAGCCTTCTCTTTCCTGCGAAAAAATGCATCAAACCCCCAAAAAATGACCCTTCACAAATTTTAACATGTCAATGTGGATTTTTGTACAGACGGGAATAATTAATAAAAACATAGTGTTTTCGCACCAAGAGAAGACTAACTGTGCCCTAACTGTTTCATCATGGTGGAAGAATACAGGTAGATGTATCAACGCTTGGGAAATTGATATGTCAAACTTTTTAAAATGTTTTTCCAAAGACCCATGTTTTTTTTTAAGACATGAATTTTTCAACAATTTTTACAAATTTGAATATTTTTTCATTCAAAAATTTCAATTCCAAAATTGGTTTGACAGTTCATTGACCCAGCACCTGTGTAGATGCGACTACCTTTATTCTTGTACCATGTGTGTCACCCTGCAAATACACCTTGGAAACTACATTTATCACAGCTGATTATCAGAATAGCTGTCAAAATACATTACCAAAAATAAACAAATTTTGCTATTTAGGTTAATTTTGAAAATATATTTTTTTATTGATCCCATGGTAGAATTAAGAAGGTAAAGTCATGCAATCATATGTTTACAATTTCTTCAAAATTATACATTTGACAACATCTCATTGTCAAAATTTATAATTATAAATCCATTGTATACACAGACATCAGAGATGGAAATCTCTTTTTTATTCAAAGAAATTTGACAAGGTAAATTACAGAAAATGCAGAGATGGATATGCTTATTTGAAATGACTTTGCCTTCTTAATTTTACCACGATTGTTCCATGATATAAATTAAGTACTTATAATAATTCATGTTTATTTCCTTTCCAGCGTTTAAATTACATGGCGAAGGCCACAGATGTTTCACGTGAAAAGACTGAACTGTGCCATTTCCGTCATTCCGATTTGGTTGAAAATATACCCGATAATTTATTCACTTGTGTTGTGATGATATTCGAAGATAATTTTGTAAGTAAATGATTTTTTAACGATTTATGCAACGTTTATATTGTACTGTATAAGTACAAACAAACATCAGCTGTTGGAACGTCTTTGTTTCGATTGTGTAATATCAAATGTAACAGCTGATTATCAGACTAGCTGTCAAGACGCAGTATTGTGATTGAAAAACAAAAATAGGAACCAAATTGTTTACATGTTACCTGATTTAAACAGCTCCGTAAGATTTAAGAATAGTGGAATTCAAAAATTGATTTTTTGGAAAAAAATTGCCACACATATTTATATTACTTTCTTTTTAGTACGGCTTGGAGTCCAGCATTAATGTCCTGGTTGAAATAAAACCCCTAATGTATGAGCTGCGTAATGTAACATTTATGCCCTGGGTCAACTCAACGATAAGTTACAAAACTTTATTGGGTCGCACCTATCTAAAGAATCCGAGTCGTGAGAGAAAACAAATCTATGGCAATTTCAATTATGAATATGTGGAGAAAGTTGAGCTGAACCTGAGTTCCATCTATCAGACGGGTATGCGAAGGTTACCGCTGCTATTCGAACATAAAAATGCTGTGTTGAAAATCGACGACAAAGGCATTGGGGGTATGGATGTAAAAGAGGTAAGAATGGGAAACTCTCGGTAGAATTAAGAAGGTAAAGTCATGCATTTTTTTCAAAATTATTGATTTGACAACACCTCATTGTCAAAATGTTTATTTATAAATCCATTTACATTTTTTGTGATTAATCAATGATCGAGATTAACCCGGGTAAAGAATTTGAATGTAAACGCGCTGTTAAAATAGTTGTAAATATGGTACAGTAATAAAAGGCAGTTTAAAGATAGTAATCGTGAAAAGTTATTATTTTTTTGGAGAAAAGGTCGAAAAGGAGACATTTTCCTTATTCGATTCCCTTCTTCTCATATCGAGTAACGGCCTATGAATCATGTCAATGACAGAATAAAATACACCAGAGTTGTATTTTTCAAATTCAGCAACATTAGGAACGCCTTTTATTATTGTACCATAATATAAATACAATACTTAAATGAGCCTCTTACCTTTTCAGAAAGCCTATTTTGGTCGTAAAATGGAACCCAAGACAAAGGTGCGTGTCGACATCATCGGCCAATGGGCCGAAGATCAACAGGAATTCTCTGCCGATATTTATGAATACTTCGGTTATGGCGTGAAACGTTTTCACAATGAAATGCAACATGGAAATGTGACATTTATGCGTATCGAAAGCACCGAACCGGTCTATGAAATGCCCGAAGAAGATGATATTGTAATACCACAAATCCATTCCATTGATGGCAAACCATTTGAACGAATGACCGCAGCTGAAGATGATGATATGTTTGGAGCATATAACGAAACCGATGAAGATTTTCGAGATGATCTAGAGGCACTGTTCGAAGATGGAATGATCACGGATGTCATAAGAGAAGATACCGAAAATGAGAGCGATTCAAATAGTGGATTTTATCCGTGGTTTATTCTGGTGGTTCTCATTGTGGGTGGTATATTAGTTGGTACCGTTTATTTGGTGTCACGTCACTACGGTGCAAAAGATGAACGACGAAGATATAAATTTACGGGAATTTAAAAGGATCGACTACGAAATATATGTTATTATTGTTTGTTATTGTAATTTCTATTTGTGTTATTTATTGGGAAACTCATAAAAATTTTCTAATTTTAAATTATTTTTAACGACTTTTGTTTAAGGAAATAAAAAAATGTTTCTAAGATAAAGCACATGCATAATTTTTTCAAGGAAACTTAATGTGAGGGTACATAAACAGTTTGGCATCATGGCTAGGAATATTATTGTCAAATTATAAAGGAACACGACGGCAGATTTCAAATACGGCTCTGGCATCCCTTTATAATATGTCACAAAATATGCCATGCGAAGACTTCAAGCTGTTTATGTACTTACACTATTAATTTGGGGCATGGTAGAATTAAGAAGGTAAAATCATGCAATCATGTGTCTACAATTTTTTCAAAATAGTTCAACATTTCATTTATAAATCTATTGTACATGCACAAATCAGAGATAGGAACCATATGTCTATGCATTGAAATTTGACAAGATGAATTACAAAATATCTGGCTTACCTTTAGGATATGCCCATGGTAGGCGAATACAGGTAGATGCATTGATATGTCAAAAATTTTAAAATGTTTTTTGTTTTTCAAATATAATAGATTTGTATATGTTTTCTTATAGGACGTCAATCAGAGGTTGTTATAAAATGTGTTTTTTAACAATTGTTATAAATTTGAATATATTTTTCATTCAAAATTTTTAATTCCAAAATAGGTTTGACTGTTCATTGTCCCATCACCTGTGTCGATGCGTCTACCTGTATTCTTCTACAATGGATATGTCACAAAATATACCATGAGAAGACTTTAAGCTGCTTATGTACCCACACCTCTAATTCTTCTATTGATTGCCCAAGTTTACATTGATAATTCTACCATGAAGGCTACCTCGATAATTCTATGATATACAAAACTGTTAAAACTTTTCACAATTGATTTGCTTTTTTACGGACTATATATCTCACAAGATCGTTTAAATAAGGTAGACTAATCTTCAGTTTATAAACGTTCTAAATTTCGACGTTAAAAGCAAATAAAAATATTTTTTATCGTTTTTCATTATTTTTGAAACACCCTGTATGTGTACCAATTGGGGAAGCTATCACCAATTGGCAACTCTGTTGCTGATGGGGAAAAACATAAACAAATGTAGCCCGGGATTGCAAATGGAAGGAAGGGTTTGTGTGGATTTGTTGTTATGCTTGAAATTTGGTGATTACAAAAACTGATTAAATATAATATTATTTTAAAAACACAAGTAAAAGTGTGAAAAAAATAATAAAAAATCGGAAACTGCAATCTGTTTAATAAATAATAGTTGTTATTGTGAAAAATCAATGTTTGTCATATTTAAAAGTTCTCTTTGAGAGCATCATATGTGTGTGAGAGTTGAGTGTGTGGAAAATAAAATCATATTCATAAAAAGGTAATTGAAAATAGTTGAGTTTAAAAATAATCAAACATTAAAAAGGTAAGTGAAAATTGTCGCAATTATTGAACAAAAACAATTGGTTCATAATTTTCAATTCAATTGAGTGTTGTCATTTTATTGTTTTTTTCTTATTGGGGTGGCATAGTTAGTGGGCACGTAATGTAAGTTTTTGGCTCTACGTTACGCTTTTAAACCTCAAATGGCAAAATGGAATGGATCATAGTTTTATGAATGTGAAATATTGACATTTTATTGATAAATGTACATTCATAAATCGAATGGTAATAAGAACCAGTAAATTGCAGGGGATGCAGAGCTGGATATGCTTATTTGAAATAGTCCTAAATTCAGATTTTTTCAGATTTAACAACATATTTGTGAACACAACTTACTACATTATACCTCAAGGCTACAACTTAAGAAGGTAAAGTCATGCAATCATATGTTTAATTTTTTTTCAAAATTGTTCCTTTGACATTTCATTGTCAAAATGTATATTTACAATTACATTTATATTCACAAATCAATATGTCTTATGTATAGAATATTGATAATGTAAATTACAGAAAATTTAGAGATGGGAATGGTGATTTCAAATGACTTTGCCTTCTTAATTTTACCATGCTTACATTATGCACCGACTAAAATAATCTATTAAAAAACAAGTTCGGCCGGGCCGGACTTTAAAATACCCTTTGGGTAAAGAACATATTTTTATATAAAAGTATCTGAATTCAAACGTGTTTAAAGCTACAAATACAAGTCAGACAGTTTAGATAGTGCTGTTAACGCCATAAAGTGGGTGAGGCCGTTGTATGGGTGCCATACCGAAATGGTAACCTCTATAGACAATTTTATACTTCAAAGATTGTCATCTACCAAATCTTCTAATGTGACTAGGATTATCAAAATACGGAGTATCGGTGGATATCGTTATATGTGCGCTATAGGAAAATTTGTAACAAAATATTAAATGTTCTGCCGCCGGAGCTAGTACCCATTATGAACTAAAAGCCAAAATCATCAAAATACCGAATATTGGGAAGACCCGTTATTTGGGGGCTGTACAAAAACGTGGACCGAGGAAAAATGTGGCTAAAATCATAAAAATACCGAATATTGGGAGGAACCGTTATGTGGAGGCTATACGAAAACACACTATGTTTTGCCACTGGAGCTAGAATCCATCATGACTTACAGATACCAATTTTTAAACAAATCCGTTGAAAATGTGGCGAAAATTATCAAAATAGGAATATCGGGAGATACCGTTATATGGGGGCTATACAAAAACGTACATACAATAAATTATGAAATGTTATGGCTTAGCTCGTTCAAACATCATGATCAACAAATACCAATTTTTAGACAAATCCGAGAAAAAGTGTGACGAAAATAATCAAAATACTGAATATTTTTAGACAAATCCGTGAAAAAATGTTAACGATCTTCTGTTTTATGGAAGACTCTTTAAAATTCTTTCTTTCCATGGTAATCTTCATAACCGTGCCTTAATTGAAAAATTCCCTGTATTCCTTACAATAATCCCTTCATGTGGCAACGCCAAAACGAGCAGACAGCTGTTTTCCAAACCTCTGCTGAGTTTTTTCTTCCCTTTCTTTCATTTACGTAAATCGATGGCATTCGTTTCTTCCTTTTCATGTCGGTGCTCGAAAAAACGAAACAACTTCGTTCAGTTTTCATTTGTGTGTGTGGCTTTGGCAACGTAACAGAGCAAGACAAAGAGTGGTCGTATAGAGAAAATATTCACTGTAGTTTTGGATTCCGAGACAGAGTTTCTTCTGCAGCAGAAAGGAAGAAAATAAATACAAAATTTCAATCTCTAGTTATTTCGTTCATGTTTATTATTTGCGGAAAAACAACCGTGTTGAGTTTTACAAACTTTTCACTCTAACTTGTTTTGTTTATAGTTTGTTATTGTTTTGAAAACAAACAAGAGATATCCCCAAAAACAACACTTGGAAAGATGTGAACTAAAGTAATTTTGGTGAAAGAAACAATTTTTAAATGAATTGTGCGTGCAAAATGTCGCAAGTGATGAATCAATTGATGTGAACACATCCAACGCCTTGATATTTTTTATATAATTACGTGATATATGTACGCTTTTGTACAATAGAAAAGAAAAAGGTTGCAAGAAGGTAAGTGTGTAGTGGTGTGCTTATATTTTTCGTGTTTTGTGCGTGCTGGCAAAGTAAATGCTGTTTTGGTGGGGTTTTTTGTGACACTCTTCATTCTCTTTTTCTGGTTATGTTTTACACTTTTTTACCAAAAACAATCCGGAATATTCATTTCGTTTGTGCGGTTTTTTTATTCGTATTTTTCTTGTGTTTTCATTTTCGGTTGTTTTTGTTCGTTGTGTGTTTTTATTTTGCCTCTTAATTCGTGTGAGAGGTATATATTATCAACTCCATTGCTATGTGTAGTGTTGTTGCTGTACTTTACTTTCGCCCGAGCATATATTGTTTGCTCATTCTGTAGTGACATCTCTTTCTCTTATGTGTTTGCAAGACAGGGAGAGTCACATATATGGATTTATGCGCTAAAACACAGGGTGTTTCACACAAGTTACTAGAATAAATGCTTTGCAAACTGTCAAATGCTTTTGAATTGTTTTATTTGGAAAGGAAAAGAAGAAATTGAAAAAATAATCATATTTAATGAATATGATAGGGAATATTGTTGCAAATATTAAAATGGACGTTCCAAGTGAGGATAAATAGCAGTCATAAAGCAGATACTTTATTCGGAAACACAAAGGTAATCTTGGAAAAATATGAACAAAATAAATGTGCATTTTTTTAAATCTCAGAAAAAGATCTGCCAGAACCGAAGTAATAGAGAGGATGTGGAACAATAGTACCAGAATAGATAGTTAGAGTCAATGTTAGCAAGGGGTAATAGAGAGGAAGTAGAACGTTACTGGCTCCCAAATTTAAAGGCATAAATACCGAAAAAGGCTTAGAAGTATGAGGAAGTCCAAGATTATCTTTTAACATTGTGAGTTTTCTCTCAAAATCCCAACTTTAAATAAGAAACAATTGTCTTCCTTTAATTTTAAATAAAGTGTCTCCTTGGTACCCCAAAAAAGGTCCAATAAATGATATGGTTGTCTCCATATTGACGCTAATTACTAGGACACATTCCGGTTGATGGAAATAACTGATTGCTCTAAGAATGCGAACAAGGAGGCTTTGTTGACCTCATAGTACACGTCGCCATAACCCATGCTATCGTTGCAATGCCTGGAACTCTTCCATGAATAAGACATGCCATGCGAGTCATTACTGGCTATTTAACGAATATGTTCAATATGCTACAAGAGGGAGACAACCCATAATGAGTATTAAAACCCCTGTGAAGACAACAAAAGTAAGAGAGGCGTTTCAGGCATATTCTCGAGAGTAGAAGGCACAATCTACTTAATTTAACTTTAGTTTATCTTGTTAATATCTATTACCTGGTTAAAACCCTCAAAGAGCTTTAAAATTCCTTCAATTTTTTGGAAGAAATGTTCTGCATTTATAATTTCTTTATACTCAACATATTTAAATTTTGCAGGATGAGAAAAAGAGGAGCGATTATTGCAACCGTTTATTCTAGAACTTAAGGCGCTTCTCTTCATCACATGCTCTTCATCTGTCAAATGCCAATCAACTTGGAAATTCCTTATTTATTTTGTTTCATTAATTTTTTCCGCGAAGACCAGTGATTTACGTCACATTCACAAAAATGTCTTAAAGATATTACATTCCTACCTTCATCCACCCCACCCCTCAGGACATGCAAATGTGGTCAGGAAAACAAAATTCAGGCCCCATGGCTGTGAATGATTTTTTTTTAGCCAAAAGTAAACAGTAGCTTCAAATTTCATTCATTTCATTGCTGTGGTTCTTCCTCCCTCCCTCAAAACTTCCTCTTCCTGTGTTACATTGCAGCCAAATACCAAACAGTCATCATATGTTATTTATATCCCTACCATACCCCAAGCTTACGCATTGTTCTGCCTCTTCAAGCGATTTATTTAATCTCAACGCAAATGCGCATGTCTTGCCTAGAATTTTTGTAAGATTTCCCAAAATTGCCCCCGAAGAAATAATTTGGGTTTTCTTTTCTGTTTACACACCATGTGTAAATAGCGTAAAATGATGATGACTGGCCATTAGGATGCCAGGGCGTATTTGCAATGCAGTAGCTATTTATTGGAGGAAATTGCCGGAAGGAAAATTAGAGAAATGGATATATTGTTTATTTTTTTCCTAAAGGTGTCTTTTCTATATGGATAGGGAAAGAAGATGCGCAATAGTTTGTTAACCCCACATAGTGGTAAGGATATTATGCCTTTGTACATTTGTTTATTACATGGAGAAGGACTCGAAATAGACCCATAGTTACTTTTGAGGATCTTCATAGAATCACTTTCTGAGTTGATTTATGCATGTCAGTCCGTGTGTTCGTCCGTCCCTCCGTCCATGTATTCTTGTGAACAAAATGCAAGTCGTATTTATTATCCGATTGAGATGAAATTTTCCAAACTATATTTGTTTGGCCCAAGGACGAACCCTATTGAAATTGGGGTAATTGTGCACCAAATGGCCAAAATCAGTCCAAATGACTTAAATTTGGCACATTCAACCGAATTTAGTCTAAAAGCAAGAACATCCAATTTGGAGAGAATCGGTTCAGATTCAGCTATAGCTCCCATATATATGTTTCAACCGATTTGGTGTTTAGGTTTCCCATATTCGTAATATGCACCCCAAAAGAATGATGCTTGGTATCAGATACAGCCCAGGAATAACTCTGCCAAGTTTTATCGAGATCGGCTAAAATTTGGATATAGCTCCCATATATATCTTCAAACGATTTCGGGTTAATTGTGAACCAAATGGCCAATATCAGTCCAAATGACTTGAATTTTGGCACATCCGACCGAATTCAGTCTAGAAGGTCGGTCGGTCCAGATTTGGATATAGCTCCCGTATATATCTTCAACCGATTTCAGGTTAATTGTGCACCAAATGGCCAATATCAGTCCAAATGACCGGAATTTTGGCCCATCCGACCGAATTCAGTCTAGAAGCAAGTACATAAAATTTGGAAAGATTATTAGATTTATCGAGATCGGCTAAGATTTGAATATAGCTCCCATATATATCTCCAACTGATTTCTTCGAGTTAATTGTGCACTAAATGGCCAATATCAGTCCGAATGACCTGAATTTTAGCCCATCCGACCGAATTCAGTCTAGAAACAAGTACATCAAATTTGGTGAAAATCGGTTCAGATTCAGATAATATAAACAATGTATAGAAGGTTTTTCATTTAATAATTTTTCAGGAATACTTTTGTATTTTCCTTTCGATGAAGGAATGCCATTCTAAAATATTCCCAATTTATGGACCCCTAGAATTCTAACGAAACAGACTCATATTTTTAGAAAAACATTTGTATTTTTGTTTCGATGAAAGAATGTCGCTCAAATGTCTTTTGAAATATGAAGACGCCTGAAAGTATGCTACATTTTCCTATCTCTTTGTTCTATGTGTGAGGAAGACTCTGAAACGACTTTAAATTATAGAAGACACGTGGGAAGTCTTATACTTTTATAAGACTTCTGGAAGGTCTTCTGTTTAGAAGGTCTTACATTGATAGAGAACGATTGTAAGTCCATAGGTCTTTTGTTTAATATTTGGAAAAACTTGTTTGCCAGTCTCGTTTGTCTCGATTTTAGGAGTCATTTTTATATTTCATCCCAAGAATTAAGGACTTCTCCATTTAAAAAAAATATTTTTGAAAATATTTATGGAATATTTCAAATGACGCTATTCTTTTGAAGAAATCTTCAAGCTAATCGTCTTTGTATAGCAGATCTCTAGCACATCTTCCTTCATTATTTCCTCCTCCACACCACCAAGCAATTTGCTTTACTTTGCCTCCACGCAATTTCTTCTGGTCATTTTGTATATTTTATTAAAATTTTTCATTTTTTTTTAATTACAGCGTTTAACTCCAATTTTACAACCAGCCTAGCAACCAATTACCCACCAGAGCACACTTCACTTCCATTTACACACGCACACACTCACCCACCCACACGCTGCTCCTGAAATGATGGAACGTAAAAAAGTTTTAGATTTGGACAAAATCTGTCGTGTGTGCATTTGTGAACGCAAGGATATGCGTCCGCTGTTCAGCGAAAAGGTGGCCGAAATGTTAATGGAATGCGCCAGTGTTAGTGTGGAGCCGACCGAGGGTTGGCCCGACAAGATATGTGTACAATGTGTCCATGCTGTGTCGCGATGTCATTCATTTAAAATGCAAGTGGAACGAAGTGACAAAGAGCTAAGGGAATACATTAAATCCATTACGGTTAGGGTAATGGTTGATGAAAAGCCACCAATAGAAAGTCCGACAATTATAAGGGTACAACAACAACAACCACAGCAGCAGCAGCAGGCAGCGCTACAACAGCAACAACAACAGTTACAACATTTGCAGCAGCAGCAAACCACCACAACGACAACCAGAGTAGTTTTGGATGAGGTACAGGGATTGAAACTGCAACAGAGTCAGGCCAAATTAATTGAATTGCAGCAACAACAAAAGATTTTGCTGCAACAGCAACAGGAGCAGCAGCTATTGAAGTTGCAGCAGCAACAACAGCAGAAAATCTTGCAAAAACAATTGAAGCAACAGCAGCAACAACAACAGCAGAATTTGGTTCTGCAACAAAAACAAGCGCAGCAACAACAGCTTCAGCAGCAGCAAGAAGAGGAGAAGAAAACTTCGACTCCACAACAATCTCTGCTCATACATAACCAACATCGTCCCCAAGCCCAACCACCCCAGCAATTACTGATGCAAACATCAACCACCACCACCGCCGCCGCCGTCAAGAGGAAATCCTCTTCATTGAAAAAGATACAACCGGTCGCCAAGAAGTTTGCCAAAATAACCCAACAACAGCACACCATCACCACACCTGCTCTCCAAACACAACAGCAGCAACAACAACAGCAGCAGCAGCAACAAATACAACATTTATTACCCCAAACCACATTGAATTTAAGCGATGGCAGCACCACAACCCTGACATTGCAACAGACCAACAACAACAACACCCATCAACGTTTGGCAACAAACACCCAAACCTTGCTCAGTACCCACCCACCCCAATTACTGCCCATATCGTCCAACACAAACCACCTAACAACAAGCACACAATCCACCACTACCCTGCCTCAACAAATTGTCTTTCCAAATGGTCAGATAATCACCACCACCCAGCTATTGACCACAAATGGTAATACCATTGGTGGGAGTGCGGGTGGTGGTGGCCCACCACAATTGGCCCAAATCATTGGCGGTAATGGCAATGTATCAACAAATAATTTGATACACACCGCCGCCGCCAGTGCCCCCCAGCTTCAACAACCACAATTTGCTCCTGCCCAATTGATACAAACGACCAGTGGCCAAACTTTGCAGTTAATCCAACAACCAAATGGTCAACAAATATTGCAATTAGTACAAATTGTACCCCAACGGACGCTGACAGCGGGCGGAGGAGGCACCCACACCTTGAGTAATGGCCAACATGCTACAGCAATTCTGGAAGATGATCATTTGACCATTATGGATGAGGAAACCCTGATGGAACAAACGGAACAGCATTTAATTGATGATGAAGGCGATCAGGAGGGCGACGACTTGGATGGTGGCGGTCACATGGATGATTCACATCACCACAATGGGAACCACAACAACAACAACAATGTCATGCAGCAACACAATGAACGTGATCAGATTTGCGAGACAATTGTCGTCGATGATGATCAACAGTTGCAGATCCATCATCACCAGCAACATCATCATCAGCTGTTGCAACAAAATGTTGAATTGGAATATTTGGAAGATGTGACGGTGACAACATCGCAGCAACAACAAAACCATCACCACCACCAACAAGGCTTGATTTTGCCCGATGTCACCGTGGTCCAAGAAGTCATTGACGATGAGGAAGATGAACTGGAGGACGATGATGATATCATTGAGGAAATTCACATGGAAGAAGAAATCTTACAGGACGAAGATGCCGACGGGACAGTCTTGTTGGAAACATCCAATGGTTCTGAGTTTATTTCCACTGAACAAGATATCGAGGATCATCACCATCAGATGTTGGAGGACGATGATGAAAATGTTTACACCGAAGATAATTCCTTGGCCCATTACACAGTGGTGGAGGGCGGTTGCATTGATGATGTCGATGATGTTGAGGTCAATGCGGTCTTCCAGGCAGCCTGTGATGCCAATGAATCCGAAATGCAGCAGCAACAACAACAAGAATTGCAGGAACAGCAACAACAACAACAGCAGCAACAGTTTAACAATGATAAGCTCAACAACAGCTCCCTGGAATGCTCATCTCCGAATGCGACAAAAACCAAGCCACGAAGAATTGCCGCCAACAACAACAACAGCAATCGCTCCTTGGCCAATTCTCGCCAACTGCAGGCCACAGCCTGCTCCATTGCCCAGGCAGCCGGTCAGGATGATGATTTTGAAATCGATTCCAAACTCATAGCAGAATTTATAAATCAACAGACCACGGTTCTATCGACGGGACGTTACAAGTGCAATTTATGTCAAAAAGAATTCAAGCAATTCAAAGGCTTGCAGAATCACATGCATCAACATTCGAATTGGATAAGGGCCAATTGCAAGAAACAACCTCAGTGTGAGATTTGCCACAAAAGCTTCCGGGGTCCAGGCATGCTGCGCATGCACATGAAGACACATCAATCTGCCAGCAAGGTACCCACCTGCCACATTTGTAATAAGGCCTTCAAGTCCAAGGCCATACTCTATCGCCACAGGCAAACACATCAACAGCGTTCGTATTGCTGTGCGGTGGAGAATTGTCGTAAACATTTCTCCACCGCCCTGACCCTCAAATCTCACATTGAACGCAAACATGCCAATTGTCCAAATATGCCGCGTTACAAGTGTGGCGAGTGTAACAGTGTGTTCTATGACATTGAAAGTCTGGAGGATCATTTCCAATTGACCGGCCATGGTGGCGGCGGTGGTGGGGCGGGTAATGAAAATCAAAGTCAAAATTCCGCTATAAGTATACAAACCGTACAAAATGGTAACAACAACAATAATAATCACGACTCTTCGTCATCTTCGACAATATCGGCGGTGAGCATGACCGAAGTTGTCAGCAGTAATGGTGATGTGTATATAGTTACGCAGGCGTAGTTTTAAATTATCCTAAACACACACACACACACACACACACATTTGGTTACATGTTTTTTTATTGCAAATGGAACTTTTTCTAAAAAAGTTTCCAAAACAAAAATACGATTTTTTGAAATTACAAAAGAAAAACCATTTTGTAATCACTTAGGAAAAAGAAGGTATTCATAGGTTATAGTAGTTAAGCTGTATTTTTTTTTTTTAGAGAAAAGAATGTATAAGTAATGTAAATATGTTTAACAGTCGTTTTTTCGGGCAATAAATTTAAATATAAATTTTACTTTTTACAAAAAAAGAAACGTATTTTTTTGGAGTTTTATTTGAATTTTGGGTTTGGGCTCATTGGAAAAGGGTTTTTCTTCAATGGTAGAACAATATTTCGTAAGCAATTGGTATTTGAACATTTTTGGTACTTGACACATCCGGCAGGGATACTCGTTCTGTGGAAAACCCCAAATGCCCAAAAACTGTCCGTCTGTGGAAATCACTCTAGCTTCCGAACGAATTGAAGTTGATTTATAAAATTTTGCTCAAATGTATGTTATGTCTGCAGGACTTTTGGTATTGAAAATGGGCCATGTTGGTCCACGTTTTGGTATACCGCCCGATATTCGGTATTTTGATGATTTTAGCGAATTTATTCACCGGAATTGTTTCAAATTTGGTATTTGAAGTTCATAATGGATACTACAGCCTAAGACAAAATTGTCTGTGCAGGTCCACGTCTTCGTAGAGCCCCTATATAACGGTATCTCTCGATATTCGGTATTTTAATGATTTTATGGATTTTTTTTTTCACCAGAATTGTTTCAAATATGGTATTTGAAGTTCATAATGGATACTACAGCCTATGACAGAAAATTATCTGTGCAGGTCCACGTCTTCGTATAGCACCCATACAACGGTACCTCCCGATATTCGCTATTTTGATGATTTTAGCGAATTTATTCACCGGAATTGTTTCAAATTTGGTATTTAAAGTTCGTAGTTGTGTGAAGGTCCACGTCTTCGTATAGCCCCCATATAATGGTACCTCCCGATATTCGGTATTTTAATGATTTTATGGACATTTTTTCACCAGAATTGTTTCAAATTTGGTATTTGAAGTTCATAATGGATACTACAGCCTATGTCAGAAAATTATCTGTGCAGGTCCACGTCTTCGTATAGCACCCATACAACGGTACCTCCCGATATTCGCTATTTTGATGATTTTAGCGAATTTATTCACCGGAATTGTTTCAAATTTGGTATTTAAAGTTCGTAGTTGTGTGAAGGTCCACGTCTTCGTATAGCCCCCATATAATGGTACCTCCCGATATTCGGTATTTTAATGATTTTATGGACATTTTTTCACCAGAATTGTTTCAAATTTGGTATTTGAAGTTCATAATGGATACTACAGCCTATGTCAGAAAATTATCTGTGCAGGTCCACGTCTTCGTATAGCACCCATACAACGGTACCTCCCGATATTCGCTATTTTGATGATTTTAGCGAATTTATTCACCGGAATTGTTTCAAATTTGGTATTTGAAGTTCGTAATGGATACTACAGCCTAAGACATAAAATTGTCTGTGCAGGTCCACCTCTTCGTATATCCCCCATATAACGGTACCTCCCGATATTCAGTATTTTAATCATTTTAGGGACAGTTTTCACAAGAATTGTTTCAAATATGGTATTTGAAGTTCATAATGGATACTACAGCCTATGACAGAAAATTATCTGTGCAGGTCCACGTCTTCGTATAGCACCCATACAACGGTACCTCCCGATATTCGCTATTTTGATGATTTTAGCGAATTTATTCACCGGAATTGTTTCAAATTTGGTATTTAAAGTTCGTAATTGTGTGCAGGTCCACGTCTTCGTAGAGCCCCTATATAACGGTGCCTCCCGATATTCGGTATTTTAATCATTTTAGGGACATTTTTCACCAGAATTGTTTCAAATTTGGTATTTGAAGTTCGTAATGGATATTACAGCCTATGACAGAAAATTGTCTGTGCAGGTCCACGTCTTCGTATATCCCCCATATAACGGTACCTCCCGATATTCGGTATTTTGATGATTTTAGCGAATTCATTCACCGGAATTGTTTCAAATTTGGTATTTGAAGTTGGTAATGGATACTACAGCCTAAGAAATAAAATTGTCTGTGCAGGTCCACCACTTCGTATATCCCCCATATAACGGTACCTCCCGATGTTCAGTATTTTAATGATTTTAGGGACAGTTTTCACCAGAATTGTTTCAAATTTGATATTTGAAGTTCGTAATGAATACTACAGCCTACGACAGAAAATTGTCTGTGCAGGTACACGTCTTCGTATAGCCCCCATATAAGGGTACCTCCCGATATTCGGTAATTTAATGATTTTATGGACATTTTTTCACCAGAATTGTTTCAAATTTGATATTTGAAGTTCGTAATGGATACTACAGCCTACGACAGAAAATTGTCTGTGCAGGTACACGTCTTCGTATAGCCCCCATATGAGGGTACCTCCCGATATTCGTTGCTTTCAATTTATCGACATTATAACCGATTTTTTTAAGTTTCGCATTTGAATATTGTAATGGCTTATGACAAATGTTACCTACGCAAGTTCATGTCGTCGTATAGACCCTAATATAATAGCTACATTCGGTATTTTTAAAATCTTAACAGAGTTTTTCAAGGATTTTATTTTTTGCAAATTTCGAAATTCTTTCCAAATGGTGGAGGGTATTCAAAATTCGGCCCGGCCGAACTTACTGCGTTTTAACTTGTTAATACTAAAACCTCCAAGGCCAATATTCTAATCAAGCTTTTAAATTTAAGAGTAGTTCTGTCATTCTGCTTAGTAGAACATCTTTTCTGTTTGTTTGATTTAAAAAATCCCTAAAATTAAATTACGCACATCTCATCAATTTTTTTAATCCAATTTAGGAGGTTTTTTGAGTGGTGTGTTTTTTTGCTTAGCAAAGAAAAAAAATCCACTTCTTTCCAATATTTAACACATGGATTGTTGGGTTATTATTGTTTTTATACCCTTCAACTTGAAAAGGAGGGTATATTAACTTTGTCATTTCGTTTGTAACATCCCTAAATATTCGTCGTAGACCCCATAAAGTATATATATTCACAATCAGCATTAAGTTCCAAGTCAATTCAACGATACCCGTCTGTCTGTCCGTCCGTTAATCTGACTGTTCGTCACGATATAGCTCACATTATTTAACGTAGAGCTTCAAAATTTGGCAGAACAATTTGTATTGTGTTTAGGACAGTTGGTATTGAAAATGAGATATATCGGTCTACGTTTTGGTATAGCCGCCATGAAAGGGTACCTCCCGATATTCGGTATTTTGATGATTTTCGCCTCATTTTTTCACGGATTTGACGAAATATTGGTATTTGTAGGTCGAAACATTGTATGTATAGGTCCACGTTTTTGTATAGCCACCATATGATCGTACTTCCCGATATTCGGTATTTTGATGATTTTTGTCACATTTACCTACGGATTTGCCTAAAAATTAGTATTTGTATATAGGTCCACGTTTTTGTATAGCCCACAGGGTGAGATGAAAAAAAAAAACTGCAACAACATTTCTAAGCCACTTGTCCTATAGCTGTTAAAATTATTCCAGTGACTGCTCAATATATTGTTTACAAGCGTAGAAAAGTATTTTGGGAAACATTTTCCAGAAAACAAGTTATTCGGAATTCAAGCGTGATAGTGTGATTTCTTTATATTTGGCTGGAAAAACACAAGTGGCTATCGTTAGAGCACTCCAGCATTTAAATGTGAATAAATCTTTTTTGTGTCTCGTACCGCTCGCTTGTTACCATGATACTTGTAGCGTAGTCCGACGTCAAGGAAGTGGACGGAAGAAAACAGCAACATCAGGAGAAATGGTTCGAAAAATAAAGAAGCGACTTGATCGAAACACGCGTTGCAGTAGCCGAAAATGGCTCATGAGTTGAACACATCGTAATATTCCATTCGGTAAATATTAAAAACTGAGCTCGGGGTAAAGTCATTGAGATTCCAAAAAGTGCCAGAACTTACACCGCAACAGAAAGAAAATAGACTCAAAAGAACCAAAGAGTTGCTTCGCTTGGCCGAAAGTGCAGTTTGTAGACAAACAAACTGATCGTGTTTACTTGCCAAAGAGGTCAGCTGGTAATGTGCACCTTCGCTTGGATACCAGAACTCAAGCGCCGGCCATGGTAATGGTGGGGGGCGCCATAACAGCTGATGGTAGCTCTCCGCTCGTATTTATCGACCTTGGCATCAGAATAAATTACCAATATTATCGCGAAAATATTCTGGAGGGTGTATTAAAGTCTAGGGCACGCAAACATTTTGGCGGCAGACCTTGGACAATCCAACAGGACTCAGCAACATCGCACTCAGCACGCGCCACCCAAGAATAGTTACAAAATGAGGTGCCTCGCCTCATTTCCAGCGCACAATGGCCACCAAAATCTTTGGATACCGAACCGTTGTGTCTGGAGTATTTTGGATAGCAAGGTTGGCACTAAAAAATACCAAAGTGTCGATCATCTCAACCAAGCACTTTGCCGGAAATGGACCAAAATACCCCAGAGCAACATTCGGGCAGAGTGTGACGGTTTCATTGTTCATTTAAAGGCCATAACTCGTGCCAAAGGTAACCAATTCAAACAAATCTAAACTTATTCTAAAATTTGATGCTATTTCCGATATTTTTTGCTTTCACTCAATATTTTTTTTTTTAATTCAAACGCCATAACTTTTACATTTAAAAAAAATATTGAGTGAAAGCAAAAAATATGGGAAAGAGCATCAAATTTTAAAATAAGTTTTGTTTTTTATCTCACCCTGTATCTTCAACCGATTTCGGGTTAATTGTGCACCAAATGACCTGAATTTTGATACATCCCACCGAATTCAGTCTAGAAGCAAGTAAATCAAATTTGGTGAAAATCGGTTCAGATATAGCTATAGCTCCCATATATATGTTTCATTCGATTTGGTGTTTAAGTCCCTTACATTCGTAATATGCATTCGACAACAATGATGTTTGGTATCAGATATCAGATACAGCCCAGAAATACCTTTGCCAAAATTTATCAAGATCGGTTCAGGTTAAGATATAGCTCCCATATATATCTTCAACCAATTTCGGGTTAATTGTGTACCAAATGGCCAATATTAGTCCAGTTAAGATATGGCTATAGCTCCCATATATATGTTTCATTCGATTTAGTACGCATTCGACAAGAATGATATTTGGTATCAGATATCTTATAGAACTCGGAAATACA